TTAAATGTTAAACAACAAGGAAAACGCGTAGCAGAAAAGAAATAAAGCCTATTGAACGAAGTATCATCTTTTATATATAAAAACAACAAAAAATCAGAAAGAAGACCCTTAATATTTAGTGTTTCAAAAAAAAGTGCTTCAAAAACAGACCCTTAATATGTATTCTTGTCGATCACTATTGATATACAATATAGATGCATGCACAATGTATAGAATCTGCATCCATATATAAAAGGAAAAATATTAGTACAAGTTAGAACAATTGCATATATATACTAAATCAATACTAATATTTAACATTCTTTTTGCTAATTCCAATTTTCAAATGTAAATCTGTTTGTCTGCTCTCTATTGAATCTTAAATTCGCAACTCTGGTTGTAAACTGTTTTTTGTTGAATTAATTTAACATTTTTGCAAAAAAACGTAAAATCAATACGAGGTATTTATAGTTTCAAAAAAAAAACGAGGTATTTATCAGCTTTATGCTTACATTTACATGCATTTATCTATGGGATCTGAAAATAATACTAATATTTTAACTATGAACAGAGCAAGTTAATGTAGCTAGCTAGTATTAACGACTACGTCCCAACTGCAACAATTTACAGATAGGGTGAAAAAGATGCATTAGAGAATAAATTACGGCGTCAGTTAATAAGCCAGTCCACTGTATTTAATTCCTCCCCCACCATCACCCCATGCATGTTACTATAAATTACGACGATACTCATTCACAACCTTACACAAAAACACATTATAACACACTCTTTGTTCAATCTACAAATTACAAAGTATCAATTTTATCGTCTTATAGTTGCAAGTCAACACAACAAAATGTCAATGTCATCGCCGGAGGAGGAGAATCACCGGAAAACAGTGGAGGATAAGGCTGAAATGGGGAGGAGAAAAAGGGCAATTTGGGAAAGAAAGTGGAAGAGATTAGACATTGTGAAAGCTTCTGCTTCTCTCTTTGTGCACTTCCTCTGTCTCTTAGCTCCTTTCCATTTCACTTGGCCAGCTTTACGGGTTGCAGTCATTGTCTATACGGTGGGTGGGCTCGGTATCACCGTCTCTTACCACCGTAACTTGGCTCACCGGAGTTTCAAAGTCCCTAAATGGCTCGAGTATTTGTTTGCTTATTGTGGTCTTCTTGCCATTCAGGTTAGCTCTCTTTTTTCAGCTTATTGTTACTTTCTAAAAATAGTCTACATATATATAACAACATGCATAATGTTGGATTCGGATATAAATGTAAAAGGTACAACCCATTCGAACCGATCGTATACGAGTGCAGTAGAATTTACCTGATTTATATATTTCGTTTTTAATCGTTTGACGGTTTGAGTTAAGCATATACATATATGGATCATCCCGCCAGTTTTATTTTTAAATTATTATTATTATTTCAATATGTTACAAATCTTAGTTTTGAATTAGTGTGGCCACGCTAAAATTTAGAATACTCATCGTCGATCTGTACGCCCTTAGATTTATCAAAGTACTAGATTATGACTTGGTTTTAAAAATGCGGATATATTTTTTGTTTTATTTTTTGAAATTAATTTTTATATTTAAGTTTTTTGTATAATCATATTTATGTTTAATATTAATTTAATTTGATAGAATAATCCTTTAAATAAATTATATAGTTGAACATAACATTTATCAATATGTCATGTTTCTATTTTAATAGAATAGATATAATATATTTCTTTATGCTTGTTTTAATTAATTTATAGTTATGTAAATTCTTGGACCACCTAAAAATCCTTATATTCGTAAAACATAAAGATATTTGATATTTATTATTTATGTAACTATCTACTCTGTCATAAAACCATTAACATTTATTTTGGTTGTTAATATAACAGGGAGATCCGATTGATTGGGTCAGCACACATCGATACCATCACCAGTTTACAGATTCAGATAGGGACCCACATAGCCCTAATGAAGGCTTCTGGTTCAGCCATCTCCTATGGCTATTTGACACTGGTTATCTAGTAGAAAAGGTAAACTAAATGCATAGACAACTAGATGAGTTCACATACTTTAATATCATTACTTAAACTTTAATATGATATTTGACAGTGTGGTAGAAAGACAAATGTGGAGGACTTAAAGAGGCAGTGGTACTACAAATTCCTTCAACGAACGGTTATGTACCACATTCTAGCATTTGGTGTCCTCCTCTATTACTTTGGTGGTTTGTCTTTTCTAACGTGGGGAATGGTAAATATTTACTCCCTCTTATTTTGCTTTTTTTTTTAATTTATTTTTTCAAAATTAAATCGTGAAAACAACGTTTACCTATTGTGTTTCTCTATCAATAGTAACATTAACTATGAATGATGAAGAATGTGTAATGTGGTGAATGTACGTAGGGTATTGGAGTAGCAATGGAGCAGCATGTGACCTGCCTCATCAACTCTCTTTGCCATATTTGGGGAAGCCGAACTTGGAAGACCCATGACACTTCTCGTAATGTTTGGTACGTAGTACAAATAATTGACAATCATGAATGCATATATATACTAATTTCATTATAGGATGTACATATTCCTCAACCAACCACATTTCTATTTAGAAAGGTCGTTTAGGATATTTAAATCTCAGCACATTCTCCATGAAAAACACTCGTTTGAAAACTATTTGATCTGACTAAGCTGGAAAAACAACATCATTATCATCGGATAGGTCTATTGACAAAAAAGAAGAAAATAGAATAAAAATTCGTCTGAAATGGAAACTCAACTGGACCAACTCCATGCATTTAAGTTCACCATCCATAAACCTGACATATAGAGATCTTTTAATTGCTTTGCTTTTTATGTGGTCCACTTTACTACTGGAGCATGTTCAAAATAACTTTTAAATATAAATGATAATGTTCTTACTGTTTGATACATTTTTAAAAAATATAATTAATCTAAAATCTAAAAAATAATTAATAGTAATAGTTAGTTATATTTTGGATAAAAATAAAAGTATAATATCATAGCTTTTAACCAAAAAACCACGTTATATATACAAACAAAACTCGTAGTCTACAAATTACAATATTTTTCAAATTTAAATTATACATCATACATGGATTAATATGGGCATGTGAGGGGCGGGGGTATATATATATATATATATATATATTTCTTGCTTCAGAATCATATGCATATTAGCATATACATGATTTTTAAACTGCATCAGTTAATTAGCAACAAGGGTAAATAACTTAGAAGAAACTAACAAAGTGGTTTGTTCAACAACAAAAAAAATTAACAAAGTGGTTGAAAAATGGTGGTTCTAGGTGGCTATCGGTATTCTCATTTGGAGAGAGCTGGCACAACAATCACCACGCTTTTGAGTCGTCGGCGAGACAAGGCTTGGAGTGGTGGCAAATCGACATTTCTTGGTACATTGTCCGCTTTCTCGAGATTATCGGTCTGGCTACTGACGTGAAGCTACCTTCAGATAGTCAACGACGTCGTATGGCATTGGTTCGTTGAAGATCGAAGATATTCGACTTATCGTCTTTATTAAGTATCAGTTAAATGTCTACGTACGTTTCAAGGTTTTGATAAGGATATATTGTGTTAAGCTGTGTTGTGTGTTGGCACCAATTTGCTTAAATTTCTGTTGAAAAAAAAACAATTTGCTTAATTACGTTCGTTTTCGTGAACTTCTAATATGCGTAATGAAGTTTATCACGCTCTATTTTTCTATTATTTCTGTCCTTCGCATTTTATACACGAACATTAGCAGAAGTATTGATATAAATTTAGAAGAATTTTAATTTTCAAATTTACCCTTAAAAATAATCATTTTCTTAAATACATTAACTTTGTGGTAAAAGGAACTAAACTAACACTCTTAAATCATTTATAATATTTTTTTTGTCATCAACTAAGAAACAGACTTATGAAGACTCTGCAAACCAAAATGGTAATTTCACTTTCATGTGAACGATATACGAGGGTTGTTTTCTGGTATTACGTGCAAGACTATCCGTCCGTGAATTCTGAATTCTTAGAACATGAATTATCGTGGAGTTGTGGAAACTTTCCTTTAGACTCTTGATATCTTCTTGATAATTTGCAAAAGCGAACTATTTCTCTGGTTCTGAAACCATCCTTACCAACTGAAAATAATCCGTTGTGAATGTAAATTGAAGTTGGTGTAAATTCCTCATACAATACATTGCCCATATAAAAGTTCTCATTTATAATGTTTAAGAATGTTTTATAAGACATTTATAGAAATTTATAAACCCAAACTATCTAAATATTAAACCCTATGGAATTAAAATGTGCATCACAGCCAATATGCATCCACAGCCAAAAATAAAATGAAATAAAACTGCAATAAAATTAAACTTAAGTAACCAGGAAAAATTAAAAGAAGCGGACTGAACAGAAGCGGCCGGAGTACTACATATGAGCTTTAAAATGTGGAAAAATTGCAGTGTATGTTAATATTTTTTAGTTTAGATAATATCTTGGTACCAAAACATTATTGTTTATCACAAACATTATTATTAAATATTTAAACGATTGGCGTATCACGCGGATAAAATGTTCTACAAATTCTAAGACCTTAAACGTTAAGAGGCATCAAAATGCGTGTATTTTCATGACGTAAAAGCATTCGTAAAAACTATTCATTAGAGTACCAAACAAATGTCCAGGTTTGTACATGAGCCTATTATGCTTAACTCTTAATCCTCGGACTAACCAATCAATCGGGATGGCTACGCAAAACATTACTGAATATTAGAAAACAAGTAAATTGGCCGACCAAAAATGGCTTTTAAAGAGTAGGCAAATGAGGTGAAATGTACACGTTTATTTTTTTTTTTTGTCATATTTCGTTGTTTTTTTCTTTTTTTTTTTCTATTATTTTGTTGTTAAGTAATGATGGTTACTCAAACCCACCGTTACGAATCTTAATATTCACAGCATTCAGCCATATATAATTAACCCTTTGCTCAACCCTATAACTCATCAAATCTCATACACACAAACCCATTACTCCTCGATGGGTGACACTAAGGAGGATGGTTCTGGCTCTAGGCGAAAAACGTTGCTTAAGGAAAAAAGAGCATATTTTTTTAGAAAATGGACAAGCGTCGATGTAATGAGAGCTTCAAGTGTTGTGGCCGTGCATTTGTTGTGTGTCCTGGCTCCTTTTAACTACAAATGGGAAGCTCTCCTGTTCGGTTTTATTCTCGCTGCGGTGACTAACCTCAGCATTACATTCTCGTACCATAGAAACTTGAGTCACAAGAGCTTTAAGCTACCTAAATGGCTTGAATATCCATTTGCTTATTCAGCACTTTTTGCGCTTCAGGTAATTATATACATGCAGTATAGTTTAAACCAAAAATTAAAATGAAATAAAACACAGCCAATATGTATAATGTTATTTTTTTGGGCAGGGTCATCCAATAGATTGGGTGAGCACACATAGGTTCCATCACCAGTTCACAGATTCGGAACGTGACCCACATAGCCCTATCGAAGGATTCTGGTTCAGTCATGTCTTGTGGATATTCGACACCAGTTACCTCAAAGAAAAGGTAACTCCCAACGTTTTAAAATATCTTACAAAAAAAAAAAATCAATAATCTTGATTTATGAGTAACTAGAACCACGTCGTTCATGTTGTAACAATGCAAATTAATGTAACAGTGTGGTGGACGTAACAACGTGATGGACTTGAAACAACAATGGTTCTATAGGTTTCTACAAAAGACAACTGGTCTCCACATCATGACGTTTTGGACCCTCATCTATTTATGGGGTGGTCTACCTTACTTAACTTGCGGCGTGGTAAAAACAAATATCTCTTTACATTTTTCATAAATATTTTAGGTTTTTCACGTTTTAAAAACTGATTTCATTTTTTAAAAATCATTTTATTTTGTAACAGGGTGTTGGAGGAGCAATCGGTTACCACGGGACATGGCTCATAAACTCAGCATGTCATATTTTGGGCTCGCGAGCGTGGAACACCAAAGACACATCTCGTAACATTTGGTATTTTATCAAACAGATATGAATATCCTTGTGCATACCATAACTAGAAACTGATTTTTTGAGTATTTGTGTAAATGGTGTATAGGTGGCTAGCACCAGTGACGATGGGAGAAAGCTGGCACAACAACCACCATGCCTTTGAGGCCTCGGCTAGGCATGGACTGGAATGGTATCAGTTAGACATAACTTGGTACCTTATTAGATTCTTCCAGGCTCTCGGTTTAGCCACCGATGTCAAATTGCCTTCAGAAGCTCAGAAACGCAAGATGGCTTTTTAATCTCATCTCTAATTTCTATCTAATTCATTTTCAACCTTAATTTTATTCATCACACACTCTCTTGTTACTATGTAAAACATTATTTGCGAATAATCATGAACTTGTAAAACTGGTCGATTCAAAACACTTACTTAATAAAGTACATTGCACGTTGTATGGAAATTAAAAAAAAGCTGATATAACGGATTATCTTGAAAGAGTAACAAACCTTGAGGCAGATGAGTTTAGAAGATGTAGTCTGGTACCTTCACAGGAAACTCTGCGACGTTGACTTCGAATTGACTCCCTTTCGGATCTTTCAAACTATATAAAATGAGAGAAGCAATGGTGAAGATTCTACTCCAAATTTTCAAGGTTTAATCTTAACTACAAGATAAATAACATAAGTGGGTCTGCATTCCTATAAATCAAACATCATCGTACATGAAGCATATATATACCTTCCAGGGACAAAGATGAACGATCCCTCAAGGGATAAATTACTCGTTGGAAGTTGGGAAATACACCTGTAAACAAACTCTTGTTCTTGGGCTTGTAAGAGCGGGTTCTAAAATACAACAAACCACATTAGAAAAAAGTTGCTCATATCCACTCTACTACATGGAACTTATTGCACAAGAGTGGATGAAGCAAAACTATATAATACCTTTACTATCACAAGTTCTCCATCAACATCACCTATTACCGCATCATCAGATCGGACAACCCAATGTCTCGAATGCATTTGCCAAGAGCTATGGTGTCTCCGGTTAGAGGTGGGCATGAGAGACATCCGGATGGAACATGTATACAAGTAGACCGGTCGCTTATTCAGATCATTAGATATTTCAGGCATCAACACAGAAGAAGCACGTACCTACATTTATTTATTTATATTTACAATCTACAACCATGAATATACCAGTATAACTAAATAATTAGAAGGTACGTCAATTTTTAATAATTTTGAATAAATAGTAAAAATAAGTTAAAAAAAATATATTTTTAATAATTTTGAATTAGATGTTTTTGAATTCGAACTTTTTATCATTTATTTTTTTTCAATTTTGTTCTTTTCAATGTGGACTATTTATCTATTTAATGAAACATTTTAATCATTTGGTCTATTTATATTTATGATAAAAAAAAAATTTAGGGTTTGAATTCTCTAAATAGAAATGGCTTACCTGCACACCATTAGTTACAGAGATAGAACACAAGGGAGGAATCTCCGGGAACAAACTGATACGTTTGATGTTATTCTCTTCACGGACTTTAATAACACCACTTTGTAACCTCCTGCCATGTTCTTCTAACCAAAGCAGCATGGCGTCCTGTTGCTGATCGCCGTTGATACAAACCAAAGACTCGGGAACACAAGGAAGGTTAGAACTTTTGGTCTCAGTATAAAGCTTACCGCTTGTGCAATCAAGGTAAAACATCTTCTTCGCATTGGGGGCTGCTGATACAGCCACAACGACTAAATCGCTACGATGATCATCTCCCATGATATTTAATGTCACCCTTACCACTTCCTTAAGAGGTAGCAAGTAGACATTAATATTATGCCAATAAGCAGAATAGCCACCAATAAGCCCTAGAGACCACCCATCATCAACACCAGAAAGTTCTTGGCCATCGACGAAACGGTAGAGAAGCCTTGTGGTGAGAGGAAGTTGGACGTTGAGAGCAGTCTCAAATTCTTCAAGATAATCCTCCGTGACACCTTTTCTCAATGTTGCTTCTGCTTCAGGGAAGTTTAAGCTTAACCATTGTTTGAGATTGTCCCAACAACGTTTAACGCGTTTAACTAGACTCCAAGGATACATTATAAAGGACTCCCTCCATGACTGATATGCCCTCTGAAACAATAATAAAGACACCACAGCCTTTTAGTTGAAAAGAACCACAACTAAATTAATATTTAAGGAAAAATCAAACCCTAGAAAATGTGAAAAGAATTAAGAAACCAACTGACTTCTGTGTTTGGTCTGCGTTTGATTAATATATGTTTGTGTTCAAAAAAAAAAAAAAAAATTCAGAAGAATATAGTTGACCTTGAAGGAAGGAGCATAATCTCCATGGGGATGTAGAGGAGTAGAGATGTTGAGGTCAAGGGAACAGAAGATGGACCAGAGAGATTCCTCGGAGGCGGAAACATGAAGGCGTTTGCTGACACAGGCAACTCTCGCTGTGTTCTCAGGACCGACTTTGGATAATATGATGTGGAGAACCAAATCTTCAGCATCCTCTAGACTCATGCCTTCGATATTTCTCTTAGTTGAGTTTGAAGGAGGCTGCGTATCAAAAGATGAAATACTTCTATTGTGGTGGAGTTTAAAAACTAAAAGTGTCCTTTTGTCGGGCTAGGGTTTGTCGTAACCAAAAAAAAGGAGCAAAAAAAAACCGAAATAAACCGGATCTGTAATTTAGTCACAATGTATAAGTTATGGACTAAACTGAAACATTATTATTATTTTTTTTAAACGGTTATCATCTTCCGGTTCTGGTGGTGTAAGGCTTAAACGATGGAGTCATGTAGACAGTAGTAGTAACTTGTTTGATCAAGTTTCCAAGGTGAAAATGTCATGAATATCCCAAGTAAAGCCAACCCTTAAGAATATCTTGTGGACCTTTGGCCTCTCCGTCTCCAAGTCAAGTCAAGCCAACAAAACACACATGTACACATACAAGTAAAAGTTATCCAGCCAATCAAAATTAGATCGATTTGCTTTGAATGTATTAATTCTGGAGACGTGCTATTTGTTTCGAGGAAAGAGCCTTTGTCTAATGCAAACCGTGTCATAGTAACTCGTTTGATCAGTTCCTACGTCTGTTTTTTTTATCAAATGCAGAATATTTTTTTTTTTGTAGCCGGTGTAGTCAAAGTCAAAGATCATATACATAAGATAGTGAGCAAAAAAAAAAAACACATAAAAGTCAAGCCATGACTCATGAGGTGTTAACTGAAAAAAATATCTATATATATATAAGTCATTAATAAAATCCCATGCATAAGTGTCATTAATAAAAAAACCCATGCAAACTAAACTGCCATACAATTATTATCGAAACCATTTTAACATATCGAACCATTTTATAGTCTAATGGTTTAAGTATTTATCCTCTTTCTAGTTGAATTGTTTGATTAACTATGATCTAAATCGCAACTAAAAGAATGATATTAAATATTTGTTGTGATTTAGAATAAAAACAGTAAAAATGTTAGTGTCGAGAGTTTTATCTTAAAAATTTAGATATGCAAGCCTAGTCGAAATAAACAGCTGAGCCACCAGCTATCCTCGTACGTCAAATGTAAGTATCACAATTATATAATCCGCCATGATGGTCGACATTATAACCCGGGCTAACATTTTATGAAAATGATTCAGACAGATGCGTAAACATAAAAGATTAATATTATAATTTATAAACCAAAATGGTCATACATGTAGTTCCTTAACAAATAAAAGAATAATTAATCTCACCAACTAGCTTTTTGCAGCTTTTATGAAGTTAGTGAATACATACATTTGCTTTTGAAGTTGCTAACTGCTTTAAGTATAGAACCAATACACAAAACCATTGTTGTGTTTATTACATTAACTACCTTAAATTTGAAAAAAAAAATTAACCAGGACGTATGATCAGACTAACGTGAGCCGCGGCACGTACCCGAACGTCCAGGGATGTTGGTACATCCGTTTCGATCTGACGGAGGCACTGTACCTCTTTGCAGGAACTGGAACACGTATTGAATCTCACCGTTGGTTCGAAACGGCCTAGCCGCTTCGACTTGTGTGGTGCCCAAGAAAATCACCAAGAGTCCAAGCAGAATCACTCCAAGTACCAATTGTCTCTTCATCATCATTTCTCTCTTGTTTTTTTTTTGTATATTTAAAGTAAGAAAAATTTCGTCTTCTTTGGCTTGGCACGTAAAAGTTGTTGTATGGCTTTTTACGATCCTTGTTTGTTTTGTATCATATTAAGATTGATAATGACCTATATATAAGGTTGTCGATAATGGTGTTGGTTGATTGTTAAACTGGTAGCGTTGTGTGACTTTGTAGGCTTTTGGTCCTACTTAGATTTTCTCGTGCCTTGACTTTTACTAGGAACGACTTGGTTTTCAACTTTTGAACTTAAACAATAGGAATTGATCAAACAAGTTAAGACATGACACGGCTTTTGCCTTGGACCGCAATGTATATCACAAGCAAACATTCAAAAAAAAGATAAGCTAAATTACTATACCGGTTACCATTAATATTGATCTTTGATTGTTGTTTGGTTTGGGAGTTTTACTTGCGCAAAGTCTACTAAATGTTGGTTAATTAACCAGACATCAACCAATTAAATAAGAATTGTGGTCAAATAAATCTGTTTAAAAACATGTATATATATGAATTCAACTATTGTTTCTTTATTTGTCAATATTTAAACGCTACATGACGACAATTCTCATTCAGTTTTGGAGGTCAAGACGACATATGATATCACCTTAAAACCGAAACCACTAAGCAAAAGAAGTTGAAAATTTTCAAATGTCTCACAAAGCGAATAATATTCATATCACAAAGTTTGATTCAGTCTTAGCTCTCAAAGTCACGACCAAATAAAACGAAGACATGCTTTGGTAGGTGCGGACGCACGTATTAAATACATAGACAGTGTGGACATGATGAATCAGTCCGTAACTCGGTCTACAAAAATTCATTCGGCCCAATCCTGAAATTCTTAACTCAAAAATGGCGACAAAAAAAAAAAAAAAAGCACGTGATTCAATTATTATGTGAGTTAATTAATGGGGAATTGGGCTGTATAACCAAACAAAAACCCAAAATTGGCCTACTAGCCAAAAATCCTAACAGATGCTATAACGCCGTTTCCTTTCTATATTATTCCTATTTTATCCCTACGTTCAACTTTTTTCACCGGCTAAAACAAAATTTTTTAATTAACTTTACTTGGTTACCAAACGTAAATCGTGTCTTACCATCGTCCACCCTTTCTTTTCACATAGCTCACTAATTCAGAAGACAGTGCAACGTCGCCAACGAAACCTCCACTGACCCCGTCACTTCCGCCTCCGTCTCCCTCATTTTCGGGATCTACTCCGGTTATTCAGAACCCGTCGCTTCCGCCTCCGTCTCCCTCATTTTCGGGATCTACTTCGGTTATTCATTCAAGAAGAAGCCATCCGTCTCTCCGTTCTCAACTTCACTTCTCATTCTCTATTCTTCTACGATTTTCTCAGTGAAGGTATTTTCTCCCGTTTCTTCTCTTTACCTCCTCTAATTCCAATTCAATTACTACTTTCTACGGGGAATTAAGGTTTTATGTTTCTTAAATCTACAACCTTTGCCTACTAGATTTTCCGATCTGTTAGTCAAATTGGCGTCTACCTTGTGAAACGATTGGTTAAAATGGAATTGAAGTAAAGTACTTGGTTCACTTGCCAATTTGTTCTACGTGATGAACCTTTGCCATTCCATATAATATGGAATGGAAAACTGATACTTTCACATAGTTTATTCATGAATAGAATAGAATACTTCTACTGTCACATAGTTTAAAGATGAATAGAATGGAATACTTCTACTGTCACCAAATGGAAAAGAATCTTATCTCTGTCTAAAAGGTTTCCACAGACTGTACTACAAAAATATATTATCATATATGTATTAGGGTTAATACTTTGTTTTAGGGATTAGTTATCACTGTTTTGGTTTAGTAAAGGACTTGGTTCACTTGCCAATTTGTTTTATGTGATGAACCTTTGCCATTCCATGTAATATGGAATGGAAAACTGATACTTTCACTTTCATGAATAGAATGGAATATTTCTACTTACACATAGTTAAATCATGAATAGAATGGAATACTTCTACTGTCACCAAATGGAAAAGAATCTTTTCTCTACTTATTTTGATAATTTTTTATATTAAGGACCATGGGCGTATTATGATATATGTATTAGAGTTAATACTTTGTTTTAGGGTTTAGTTATCAGTGTTTTGGTTTAGTTTATGGAAGATTTATGATAGGCCATAATGATCTCGTGATTAGTGTTTAGGTTTAGTTTAATGGCTTATTTATTTTGATAATTTGTGATATTAAGTACTATGGCCGTATTATGATATATGTATTAGGGTTAATACTTTGTTTTAGGGTTTAGTTATCACTATTTTTGTTTAGTTTATGGAAGCTTTATGATAGGCCACTTCGTTTCGTGATTAGTTTTTAGGTTTAGTTTAATGGCTTATTTAGTTTGATAATTTTTGATATTAAGTACTATGTGCGTATTATGATATATGTATTATGGTTAATACTTTATTTTAGGGTTTAGTTATCACAGTTTCGGTTTAGTTTATGGAAGATTTATGATACGCCATTTGGGTTTATTATCCGACATACAGAACATCTAATCCATATGTAAAGGAAGTCCCTATATGTATTAATATCAACTTGCTAAATAGTATACCGTTATTTAATTCAACTGCAAATTTACGGTTTAATATCATGCTTTGTTTCATGACATGGGTTTAGGTTCTGTTGATATATATACTGGTAGAGAAATTTCAGTATATTGTTCTTTTAATCTACTCCATCCACGATAGAATGGAATATAACCTACATAGTATGGTTAAACCATCATGCTTTGTTTCATGACATACTTGTTTACCTTTTCTGTTTTCACTCTTTTCCCATTATTTTTGTTCATGCTAGGTTTGACATGGACGAGCTAGGCCTTCCACCTAGATTGTTCGAGACAGGGTGTGAACCCATTGGAAAGAAAATGGTGAACAACTATTTCAACCTCCGTTGACTTGAGGTGATAAAGGGTGCTTTAGAGGATGAGGACCTTGCTATGTTGCGTGCGTTGCAGTTTGATCAATTTATGCGGATGGGGGCCATTGATCTATATCTATTCCATTAGATTATATAGAATATTCTATTCTATGACGGAACAATCTGTATTACAAAATCATTCCTGTAAGTTTACATTTTCTTTGGTAAATCCATATACTCCGTAATTGTCTTCACCGTTGTGCTTTAGCGTTTCTTCAGAATGACTGATATTGGTACTTAGATGGAATACATCTTTTAATGACAGAAGTTTTAATTTAGTTCACATGATTATCGGTGCACAGTAAAAATATTTTTCTTAACTCCACCAATGTACGTGGCTACCTCCTCCTCTTTAATATGGAATAGCTGTTACCCAATATTGCACATTAACTCCATGGAATACGTCATAGCAGCTCCCCAACCGCACATTTAATCCTAATCTGATAAACCCAAATACATTGAGAACATGTAAATAGTTCAATATATGATTCCATTCCATATTTGCGTTCATCTATTCCATTCCATATTTGTAGTCATCTATTCCATTTAAAAGTGAATGGACTATTATAGTCTCTTATTTACATGTTCTCCTCCGATTTGTGTTTATCATGTGGTCTTGCCGCAGTTAAATAATGAAACTTATACGCACATAGTCCACATGATTATCGGTGCACAATAAAAATATTTTTCTTAACTCCACCAATGTACGTGGCTACCTCCTCCTCTTTAATATGGAATAGTTGTTACCCAATATTGCACATTAACTTCATGGAATACGTCATAGCATTCCATATTTGTAGTCATCTATTCCATTCCATATTTGTAGTCATCTATTCCATTTAAAAGTGAATAGACTATTATAGTCTCTTATGTACATGTTTGCCGTTACGTAAACATTTTCTCGATTAAGACCATGTATATGTTCATATGTGTTGATCCTATTTATCCACGCGCTTTATAAGTTTCATTATTTAACTTCACCACAGAAAGCAACCACGTCGTTTAATTTTGCATGTAACTGGGTACCTGTTGATGGAAGGGGTAAAACCGGATAAAAAGCAGCCTAAATGTCAGACACTACATTATTTCAATATCAGTGTCAGATAACTAATTTAGGTCCAAAGTTTGGCTATTTAGCCAATAAGCCCTTAATTAATTACACTTTTATTACAAAAGCACGTGCTTTTGTTTTAATTAAGAGAGTTTGACTAGTGTAATAGTGTGGCACGGCTCACATCTATTTGACTTATTTTTTGTTTGCGCCACTGATGCTTCCAGTGAACAGAACCAACGCTCTTCTAACAATCCTAACCCAAATCAAAACACTGCACCATACACAACAGGTCCACGCAAAGATTATACTTCATGGACTCGAACAAGAAGTTATTCTCGGATCCAGTCTCACTAACTCTTACATCCAATCAAACCGTCTCGATTTCGCCACGGCTTCCTTCGATCAAATCCCTTCGTGTAAGAAAAACCGTTACTCGTGGAACACGATCCTCTCCGGTTACTCCAAATCCAAGAATCACGTCGAAACCTTACGTCTTTACAACAACATGAGGAAGGACTGTAACGGCGTGGACAGTTTCAATTTAGTGTTTGCGATCAAAGCTTGTGTTGGTTTAGGGTTTTTAAGAAGTGGTGTTTTGGTTCATGGATTAGCGATGAAGAATGGGTTGGAGAGAGATGATTATGTGGCACCGTCTTTGGTTGAGATGTACGCAGAGCTTGGTGGTATGGGAGATGCGCGGAAGGTGTTCGACGAAATGCCTGTGAGAAGTTCGGTTCTTTGGGGAGTTTTGATGAAAGGTTATTTGAGATACTCGGGAGATTGTGAAGTGTTTCGTTTGTTTTATTTAATGAGAGAGGTTGGTTTTGGGTTTGATGCGCTTACGTTGATATGTTTGGTAAAGGCTTGTGGGAATGTGTGTGCTGGTAAGGAAGGGAAGTCAGTTCACGGTTTATCCATCAGAAGGGGGTTTATAGATCAGAGTGGTTATTTGCGAGCTTCTGTTATTGATATGTATGTGAAATGTAGGTTATTGGACAATGCTAGAGAGATGTTTGAAACAAGTGTTGATAAGAATGTGGTGATGTGGACAACGTTGGTTTCTGGATTTGCAAAGTGTGAGAGAGCTGTTGAAGCATTTGATCTGTTCAGGGAGATGTTGGGAGAGTCTGTTCTTCCGAATCAGTGTACTTTAGCGGCTCTTCTTGTTTCTTGCTCGAGCTTGGGGTCTCAGAGGCACGGGAGAAGTGTTCATGGGTACATGATAAGGAATGAGATTGAAATGGATGCTGTGAATTTTACGTCTTTCATTGATATGTATGGTAGATGCGGGAACATTCAGATGGCTAGGAAGGTTTTCGATGTGATGCCAGAGAGAAATGTGATATCTTGGAGCTCGATGATCAATGCTTTTGGGATAAATGGTATGTTAGAGGAAGCTCTGGATTGTTTTGGTGAAATGAAGTCACGGAACCTAACTCCGAACTCTGTGACATTTGTGTCGGTTTTGTCGGCCTGTAGCCACTCGGGAAACATCAAAGAAGGACGGAAGCAGTTTGTGTCGATGACAAGAGACTACGGGATTTCACCAGAGGAAGAACATTACGCGTGTATGGTAGATTTGCTAGGTCGAGCTGGTGAAGTTGAGGAAGCTAAGTCTTTTATTGATAACATGCCTGTGAAACCAATGGCCAGTGCTTGGGGAGCTCTTCTGAATGCTTGTAGAATCCATAAAAAAGTTGACTTAGCAGAAGAAATAGCAGAGAAGCTCTTATCCATGGGGTCCAATGAATCAAGCGTCTACGTCTTGCTTTCTAATATATATGCTGACGCTGGGATGTGGGAGATGGTGAATAGTGTGAGACGGAAAATGGGCATCAAAGGATATACCAAACCCATGGGACTATCTTCTATAGAAGTCGGTTAGTAAACATTCAGCTATTGTTCCTGCAGCATAGTGTTTGACCAATATGAAGCAACAATGTAGAGAGATGATGGATATATCATATAACTATTAGACAGTTACTTCGATTGGATTATGTAACTCAAAAAAACCTCTGGTGACAGGCTCCAGATGAGTAGCTTTTAGTACATAATCCGGATGGCCTCCATTGAGCAATATGTTCATGGCAACAATATCATCTGGGAGCATAGATCACAAAGGAAGTTGTAGGATCAGTGCAGCTCTCTTGTAAAATCAGCATATTGCTCTGGCTAGAGTTTGCACTCTGTCACATAAAGAAAAGATTCAAAAGTATGATAAACCACCACCATTTCTCGGAGTTGCAGGATGGAGCCATTGAACCGAATTCAATTAGGACAGTAACGTCTCTCTCTATATTACATCCTCGTGTACTGTTTTGTCAATAAAACTGATACTTGCAGTTCCATTTCAGTCTCATCTAGTAATTTCTAATTTAAGTAAAATGAAGCAAATTACTAAATGAGGGAAAGTATATGTATATACTACACACATGATATACTTGTGTACCTACACGTTATGGGTTTCACCGTATTTGCTTAGCGTAAGCCACATGAATCCAAAAGCTTTCAATCCATTCCTTATGCTTTTATTACTATTAGTAAAGAGGAAGGTTTTTCCTAGAGCAAGTTTTTTATGAATTTTAAAATCTCCAAAGATGTTAAATAGAGTTTTTGAGCCTCTAACATTTTTCGTCTCCTGCAACAGCAAAAACCGGAACCATCTGTAGCCTTTTTTATGACTAACCTTTTTATCCATCTTTGCTGGAGTTGAAGACAGATTTAAAACAATGGAGATGACATTGAGAAAGAAAGCCTTTCTGTATTTACATGACAATGTTTAGCATGATATCATTCTCCTAGCAAACTTTGGAGTCGTCCTGCGCTCTTTAACCTTTGAGAGAATCTTTCAATGAGAATGGAGGAAACGCATCCTATCATAACACATGAAATGGCGTTTTTTCTAAAGTGATAGAGATATATGAGTAACGGCCAGTGCTTGCGGAGCTCTTCTGAATACTTGTAGAATCCATAAGAATGTCGACTTGGCAGAAGAAATAGCAGAGAAGCTCTTATCAATGGGGTCCAATGAATCAAGCGTCTACGCCTTGCTTTCTAATATATAGTTTGACGAATATGAAACAACAATGTAGAGAGATGATGGATATAACTGTAAGACAGTTACTTGGAGTGAATTTTGTAACTCAAAAACCTCTCTGATGATCATCTGGTGATAGGCTCCAGATGAGTAGCTCTTTAAGTAACTCTTAATATACATTCTCAGTTTCCTGCACGTATCCAACTAATCCCATCTGCACATATATCTCATCAAGTAACAAGTAAACTTCATCTGAAGCAGAGTGAGATTTATCAGCTGCAGCAAACAGATGGACTCGTTTACCTAACTCAATCCAACTTGCCCCAGGAACTACCTTTTCTATACCCAACTCTCTCATCCTTCCTCTAACCTCTGCAACATCTCTCCACCTATTTTCTCCTGCGTACATGCTAACTAAAAGAGAATAGTACCCACTATTCCTTGGCTCCAAAACCATAAGTTTATTAAACGCTATCTCAGCTATCTCCAAGTTCTTGTGAAGTCTGCACCCATCAAGCAAAGCCCCCCAGATAACCGCATTTGCTTCAAATTCCATACTCTCAATCAATTCCAGAGCCTCTTGAACCAACCCAGCTTTGCTGAGTAAAGCAACCATGCATCCGTAGTGTTCAATATTAGGGACAATAGAGTATTCATCACTCATGCTACGGTATATCTTCCTGCCTTCTTCTACAAGCCCTGCGTGAGTACACGCAGTTAGAACACTCACGAAAGTGACCGAGTTAGGTTTGACTGACTCCATCTCCATCTTGCCAAGCATCTTCAGTGCTTCACACGCATAACCATGAGCTGCTAACCCTTCAATGATCGAGTTCCAACAAAAGAGATTCTTTTCTTGCAAATTAAAGAACACCACAAGTGATCTATTCAAGCTACCGCATTTGGAATACATATCCACCAGTGCTGAACCAATGTATACATCGAGAACAACCCCGGTCTGAACAGTGTAGATATAAACCTCCTTACCTATATCCAACACGCCCAAATGCGCACAAGCTGAGATAACAGTTGACATAGTCACTTCATCAGGCACATTCTCTTCCTCAGTCATTTATAAAACACGGAGATTGCTTCTCTATACCTCTTGTTACGCGAGTAGCCTCTGATCATACTCGTCCATGAGATGATATCCTTCACAGGCATCTCATCAAACAACGACTCCGCTACTTCCACATTACCTGGTCTCATATATCCATCAATCAAACAGTTCCACGTACCGACATTCTTCTCCTGCATCTGGTCAGCTAAAGAACTCGCGGGATTCCATATCCAATACCTGACGATAAGCAGAAACCATCGTCGTCCAAGCGAAACCATCTCTCTCAGGCATTTCGTCGAACACTTTCCTAGCTTCTTTAATTCTACCTAAACCCGAGTAAAACCCGATAAGACTCGTCTGAATATGAACATGGAGACAAAACCCAAGTTTCCAAATGTGCCCCTGAACACACTCCCCAAACACGTGATCGAAAGATGATGCCTTTACGAGTGAAGTGTACGTGTAACTCGTTGGAGAAACAGAGTCTCTGAGCATACGAACATAGAGTTCAAGAGAACCAATCGGGTGAGAGCAAGTAACGAAGCCTTGAATCAACGCGTTGTATACGAAGACGTTAGGTTTATGCGTGTGGGATATTGAGGAAGTTACGAGGTCGAGGCGGTTGAAGAATGTGCAGGCGGTGATGAACTGGTTCATCATGTAACAGTCTTGGTTTTGGCTGGTTTTGATCATGGGGGATAAAGCAGAGTCTAGAAGCTTGGGGGAGAAGCATTGCTTGAGGACCTGTGAGATAGGAATGTTCTCGAAACGTGGAGATGAGGAGCCTCGAAGGAGTAGAAGAATGTGAGACTGCACACGAAGACAGGACATGTCGGTCAAAGCATTCATGTAAGAGTTTTAAGGTTATGGACTTCGAAAATCTAACAAGGTGTAGTACTGGGCATTCGGGTTTTCCGTTCGGGTCGGGTCGGTTCGGTTTATTCAGTTTTTGGGTTATTCGGATTGGGATGTTTAGGACCCGTTTAGGAACCAGACATTTTTCAGCTCGGTTCGGTTCAGATAATGTCGGATTCGGGTCGGATTTCTATTTTTTTATAAAACTCGAAATAAAACCATATCACAAATTATTCGGGTTTAGTTCAGGTTTGAAGTCCAATAAATAAAAAAAATCCTGAAAACTCGAGATAAACCCGAAAAATATTGGGTTCTTCGGATAGTTCTGATTTTTTTAGATATTTTTATTTATAAATTATATTTTATATATTAAAATTAAAATTAATTAATATTTTTATATATTCAAAATATTCGGATATCCATTCGGTTTTCGTTTCGATCTTGGTTCGGTTTCGATATTGCGGATTTAGAAATATAGTAACCGTTCGGGCTTTTGTAATTTTTGGTTTTTTCGGTTCGGTTCCGGTTTAGTTTTCGGATTTCGAACAATATGCCCATGACTAGTCTAGAGCTAGAGAAGCTTAGCGAAGACCTTTGGGGAGATGCAGAAGGTTTCAACTTCGTCAGTTTTGGGCCTACTTGTTAATTTGTAGTCTTTGAGTTGACTATTGGGCACACAATAAGCCCATCATCATGTTAACTACTTGGTTGTTAAAGCATAAAACACCTAGATTAAATAGTAACTGGTTAAGTTATTATTTGGCATGATTTCTTTTCAAATTTACATTAAATTTTGATGAAAATTATCCTAATTTTTATTTATTATTTAGTTTCAAAGAAAAGTTTACTGTTCAGATTTTTCTATCTTCACTTTAAAGATGGAGTATGAGAGATTATGTTCTATGCTATGGCGTATAATTTCATCTTTTAAGATAGACGGTTGTTTACGTATAAAATAAAATAACATAAGAATTTTTATCATATACTAGTTTGTTCACACTTCACACCACCAGGTTTTATCTTCTTGATTTGTTTCTCGTTGAAACAGCGAACCGTAAATTTATTTAGAAGTATCTAATTGACTAATTGACTATTACTAAACCCTATATTAATATATTATCAATGTATTCACACTGTTACTTGCCTAATTTTGCCAAATCAATATTTTTATACTGCTACTTGTCTAAATTTGAATCAAATCTTGCTAGTTAACTAATTATTTATAGTTTTGTATATGTTAAACCAGATATCATATCTATAAGAAAAAGCTGGATTACTTGCAAGCACGGTCATAAGTCATAAACCTGTATTGATTATCCCTAAATTATTGCCGCCGGCGTAACGATGTTACAATTTTACCTTTCAATAATGCTTACTTTCCACTTGTATTTATAATAAGAAACAAGCTTTCAATTTTTGGCGTGGCTGGCGACTAAATCATGCTCAAATTAATAGACACGTGCTTGAATTGAAGATGCATGCACTTTCTTGTTTTCGGAATGAGGTCTTAAAGTGCAGCATGAAAAGAAGATTCTACATCTTCTCAAAAAACAAATTTGTTGTCTTGTCAAGTTTTGATTTAGAGACTATTTGGTATAAACTAAAAATCGTTATTTTAAAACTCAGATTACAATACTTTGGGAGTAGAAAGTTGGCGGCCCCAGCCAAAATTACAATGCTTTATTACAACTTTCTTTCAAACGTAGCAATATGGAAAATCAAATTTGATGCTGCAGATTATTGGAACATATGTACATAAATTTATCGAAATAATGGTATTGCTGAGAGCATGTATCTATGTTCCAGCTAGGGTCTTTATTGTTTGGTTCTTTGAATTCAAGAATTTTGTAAACACATAAAATTTGTTTTTTAAAACAGTAAAAACCAACAAAATAATGTAATAGCTTCAAACACCATAAGTATTATTAGAATTTTAAAAGCATCATAATTTCTTTAGCAAGTTGAACCATTATTATAAATATTAGTAAACCAAAATAAAGGATTCGCTGGAATTTCATAATTTTTCAATCAAACAATTCATTTTCCTTCTACTAAAGCATTATAATGACCATGCATGTCTGGATTTTCTTGGTCGTGAGGAAAAAAGAGTTTTCTGACCAAAATAACTTGGTTTACCTTTGACCCTAGCAGGCTAGCTGGCCCGGACAGAAAGTGAAACTATAGAGATTAAAAGAAAACAATGAAAAGAGAAGAGTGTTCATGCACCCGTCTCTATTGCTAGTTCCTACATATTATTATAATATTCTCAAGTTGTAATATATGCCAATTATATATCAGTGGTCCACCATTATAGGATCATCCCACTAAACTGTTTTTTTTTATGTAAAATTTTAAATAACCACTTCATTAATTTGGTATATCCTCTTAAATTATTCTTAATTATCTTCCAACAAAGTTCACAAACAAAAGATTATTCATCTAAGCTTATCTAATTTGTATGAATATCACACATATCCAATTAATCCTGGAATGTTTGAATACGAAATATACCTTCCTGCATAATTCTATGCTCTCTCAACTTCTATAAATGATTGTATACTTTATTTATTTAATTTTCAAATGTATTCCAGTATATGTAGATATAACATAAAAGCCCCTACAACACTGGTCATGGACTTTACAAAAGATGATTACTCATTTACTCTCATAGAACCGCAAGGGTAAATACGTACTAATTCTACAAAATGTATACACTGAAAACCTGAAGTTTCTTGAACATTTAAAACCTAAAAACTCTACTAGTGACCGAGATGTATGCTCTGGAGAAACAAAAGCCAACGTGGCAAATATCTGCCATGTCATCAAAGGATGGCCTCATGTGTTTTGTCGGATACACGCCGCCGTACGTCATTCCCTCAATCTTGGTCTTGTCCCTCGTGGAACAATGCACCTACTTAAGTGTATGGTATTATAGATTAGGGCTGGGCATTTTATTCGTTATATTTGATTCGATTCGTTATTCGTTTCGATTCGATCCGAAAATTCTGGATATCCGTAAACTTTCGAATCAAAGCAAATACTAAAATCCAATATCCGTTAAAATCGAAGCAAATCACAAATATTAAAATTTTGGGAAGCGGATATCCGATCCGATCCGTAAATATATAAATATATGTATATCTTGGTTATATTTGAACTTTTAAATGTATAAAATTATATAATTATTATTCTAGCACATGATTTTGAACATTTTTATTCATATTATTACTTATATAAAAGTATTATATAAAAGAGAGAAAAAATTTATGACAATTATATTTTC